CTGGATTAAAAGTCAAAGTCCTTATTGTGGCCTTCAAGGCCCTACAGGATCTGTCCTGACTCCCTAAATATTTGTAAAATGAATCAATGATCCAATGACCAGGACTCCCTGATGTTGGTATTCTTGTCTGTAAAATGGGAGAACCTCATGGTATTGGGGTGAGGATTTACTGAGAGGCCACCATGTGGAGGGCTTAGCACAGAGCCAGGCATATACTAAGTGCTCAATTATGGCGGCTGTGGTGATGTTCATTCATGGCAGACAAGCGGAGCATGCGCCAAAGGGGAAGGGACTTACGAGAGTGTCTGAACTTATAAATCAGTAGGACGCCCATGCCCAGAACAACCACGACTACAACAACCACAATCAGGATGATGATCTTGGGGGACAAGGCCCCGGGTGACTGCTTCATGGGAGGTCCCTCTGGAAAGGAAGAAAGAAGCAGGGATTTAGGTTCAGAGCTTTTGGGGTTTTCACCTGCCCTGCAAACATTACCCCGTCATTTCTTTAGGAAGCTACCACTCTACTTCCCTCAGTCTATATGGTTCAGGTAGACTTGACCTGTCCCGCTCTGGCCCCTAGGATGGGACTTTAACCTAGGTCTGGCCAATCAGAGGATTTCATTCTCTCTGACTGTTACAATTGGTTCATAGGGGGGCTATGACCTAAGCTGAGCCAATGAGAGCCAGCTCTGGGACTTTGGCTAGAGCTATTGAAAATAGTGCTTTCTTTCCCCTAGGATTATTAAACTAGTGGGATGTGAGCAAGTAGATGAGGGCCATCATGCCTCCCAGAGGGAAGAGTCTGCCCGAGAATAAAGCCAGCATAGAGAAAAGCAGAGACACGAGAGGTAAAGAAACGTTCTTGGGTTACACAGTTGGAGTACCTGGATCTAACCATACCTGAAGGTGCCTTTTCAATAGAGTCTCCTTTTTTTCTTGAACTATTTTGAATTGTGCTTCTATCAATTGCAACTGATAGAGTTTTGCCTAGTACGCTTGGAAAGGCCTTTCTGAGTCCCTGAGGACGAGGCATCGCACAACTATCCAGCCTGGGTTTGTAGAGGGGTGCACCCAGGTGCTTATACAACGGTTCCAGTGGTACAGGTGTTGGATTAACAGGGAGTAAACCCTGTTGGTCCTTTCATGAGTGGATAGGGGAAGGATGGGAATCAGAGACCATTCTTGTGGCTGAGTGACTCCCTTACCCAGGTGCCTCCAGATGCCAATCCCCTCCCCCAGAGAGAATCCCGCTGTGACCACCTCCTTTGGTCCCCGTGTTCTCCCCACCCAGGGGGCTCCTCACCTCTGAGCAGGATGGTCTGTTCTGCCTTGCCAATCCCTAGGGCGTTGGTGACACTGCAGATGAAAGTCGTATTGATCGA